CAGCAGGACTTACTCTATTTATGTTGTGCCTCTGTAGGCAAAGCTATTAATAAATATTTTACATAATTTCTAATGACAATGAATGGAATTAATCATTTTCCAGGTATAGTATTACAACTCATGTTTACTTTTTAATTGATTTAGCCATTTTCCGATTTTATTTCCTTACAATTAAATATCATATACTTGGACAAATGAGCATTTTTCTTAATTTCATACCAGACTTGATGCCAGTGTCATGTGTGCAAAGCACATTTTGAGCCTTGTGTTCCCGAAAGCAGGAGAAAGCCGTGCTGGAAGTTTTCTCTACACGGGCTGTGTATATCGCGAGCAACCCTTTCCCCTGAGCACACAAGTACTTTGCTGTGTCCAGAAGTACGGACTGGATGTTGCATTTTTGTATAAATATTAGAATAGTTACGAGTCAAGGGAGCATCGTAACATAGCATGCCAAATCTCATGTCCAGTAAAGAAATGGCCTCAGTACTGCTAATATTTACATGTACTATACTGCATTCTGGGGTAGGGTTGGCATTAATCGTTTTAGGAAAATCTGCTTAACCCTGTCATGACCTTTGTGTAGTGGTTCTTTTGTTATCCTTCCCTCCCGACTGTTTGCAGCGGAGGCGTCCGACTGAAGCCTGGCACTGTGGGATTGGGCACGCTGGCAAACAGGTCTGTTCTGTCTCCTCTTTGTATGCATTTGCTAATGGTATCTAAATGGCAACGGGGGTTGTTTGTTTCTGACTGCACCGACTCTAAAGGCACTTTATGTAACACACGGGAGTCATATCTGGGTTTATCAGACATTAATGTGATTCTGTTCCTTCTCACTGCACATGTCTTTTGGTGCAATATCTATCAGTTGTGGATTTGGCTGCTGCTGCTGTATAAAAGAGAAAACAGACAGCTGTAGGGCTGAGCCCGCAGACGCGCGGCTCAGCAGTCGGTTTTGTGGTTTATTTTTTACTTAATCACAAAGATCTATTTAATATACACTGCTATCTAATCAATTTTGTTACCTATGACATGTTGCATGCTTAAACGATAATGTCTGAGTTGCATCTCTTTTGTGACAGATTAAAAGTGAGATTTGTATTTGATCCACCGCAGTGAAATGGTTACAGCCCTCCTGGAGTCGGCCCAAGGGCGCGGCTTCAGCACCTTAGTGTTCAGGTTTGGAAGTTTCACCCACGCACTCACCTGTGTACAGGCTTTCCCCCCCGAGAACCCATTTGATGCTGATAAAGCAAGATGACATCACGTGCCAAAACAAAATTTCACCTCTTTGCCAACAGCTTTTTTTTTAGCCCTGCCCTTACCTGCTCCCGACGCCCGCTGGCAGGGGCCAGCCGCACTGCGGAAACGCTAACGTCGTAACGCTGCTGCTGGAGAAGTAACATTGGGCGAAGGGCCGCGGGCTAGCACGCGCGAGGGAGGCCGCTCTGTTCCTGGGACGTGGGCTAAGATTCGTTCTCTGTTCGGGAAGTTTCCTGGCCTTTTACATTTGATGAGTGAGCTTGAACAGGAGAAACGACTGCGTCCGCATAGAGAAACACTGTGCTGAGCCTTACCGCGGGAAGGACCTGGGGAAGGTGAGGAAGATGAGGTAGATTCAGGTTTTTCCAGCGCCCTTCGGTCTGTTGAGCACAGCGGGCTACAACATGGCCTCCCTTGAGGGAAGCATCCTACTCCAAAATTTGTTTCTTTTCTGTCTTACCCTGAGGATTTTGGTGTGCTTGGAGGCTCTGTTCATGGCCAGTGCCTTGTGCCCAGCTCCTGAGGCTTTTCTGGGTGTGCAGCTGCAAGGCCAGCTCGTGTGGCGCCGAGGGCTGTGACCCGGCAGTAGCACGGCTGAGGCGGAAGCAGAGGTCGGGCTGTGTTTAAGGGGGT